AAACATACTTTTGTAAAATGAAACTGCAGCGGGTCATCGGTGGATAAGCTGACGTTCAAACCCTTGATCAGGAAATCTGGTAATGGATTTCGGTGATAGTTCAGGAAAAGGCCGTTGTTGCTCAGCGGCGACATTGCGATACCAATCTGCGTCAAATAATACAAGTACTGCAAGAAGGGAACCTGAAAACAAAAGGAATCAGAAAATTCAATCAGTTAAATCTGGTTCTGAACAACAGTGGCTATTCGGTAGACCAGGTCATTTCGTTTCTGTCTGAAAGTCAGCGTGTCAGGGCGCACTTTTGCCCGCTAAGTTAGAGAAAGAGAAGGGCACAACAAACAATTTAAAATGATCATCGTCTCCTTAAATATTAATCTGTTTATCGTTAGGCTGTGCTGTGATAATACATTGAATACCTTAATTAATGGGAAGGACCATTTAGCAATAAATTGGACAGTTTTTAGCCCATATTTTGCTTTTGTTTTCTCACCTAAATCTCACTGATTTTCTGCTTTAATCGAAAGAATGTGTAGTTGGCACGCAATTTTGGAATATGCAGTAGGTGTATACCTGCTTGATCTGCAATGAAGTTTACATGATCGAATATTCCGCATGGTTTCAAATGTCGTGACAGTCAATCTGATATTTAACAGTTGCTTATATGACTCCAAAACCAGAAGGAAACATCTAAAACCTGTAATCCTTTGACTGTCGACCTCTACAGTATATGAGGTTGAAGAACGAAGGAAACCCTGTAGAAGCAGCAAAATTTAAAACGGTACGACTTCTTCTACAGTTCAGTACAAGTAACGCTGCGAGTAAATCGTTTATGTTGCACTCTTGAAATGCCGAGTTCAAACGCCAATCGCAGCGACGGCTTCCAGTTATTACCTGCTACTTGCCTTGAGCAAGAAATTCACCAAATTTGCTTCAGTGTAACCTACAGAGAAACGGCCAAGTCACTGACGTGCAAATAATAGGTACAACATGGTGTTTGGTGTGATGCCAGAGCACGCAATACTAAAGCAAAGTGTGATACGCTCGTTTTACTGCGGCAATTCGCTTTGACATACCTGATCATGCATAAAAATCAGCAAAACCTGGAACCACAAACACATGCAGCCGAAAAGTATCCTAGCCGGTGAGCAATCAACAGCCTAGCCAATGTGTAAATCGATGTTTGGGTAGCACCCGTTTGGATCCAGGTTCAAAATGTTTGCCTTAGCAAATCATTTCTCGGTCTTATCTTAGACGAAACATCATAAGGGCGCTTTTCAAGGGAAAGGAGGTAGTACTTTTCAGATGCTGTTGACACCATCTACAATAGATGGGTAGTTTTGAGTCAAGAGGTAACGTTCGACCAGTGCTGCAGGTTTCGGTTTCTTTCACTTTCGCAAATGTGTTATTACTTAAACAAGTGGATCTTTCCAAATCTTTCAACAACTTTTCAGCTACTCTTTCCACTGGCTGAAAAATAGGCGCCTTGAAGTGTTGGAATATTCTCCATGGCGAAAACGAGTAAGCAGTTAGAGAAATCAGTTTATGACGGATGTACATGCCTTCTCAGTTCTTGATTGAATATCATCGAGAATTTGCTCTGGCACCGGGATGTTTCTGCAACGACGCGATGTAAAATCTTGGAAGAATTTCTAACTTTTTGGCCTTAATACAGAGCATCATCCTTACGACCGTCGGAATATGCTCGACAAAAGTATTTCCATATGCATTAATACCGCTTCATGATGAACTTCGAGCAGCTGCTTATTCTTATGTAATCCAGCAGCAGCCGTAACTTCTTACCTCTTCCACCGATGCTCCTACCGCTGTTTGTTAAATAACCGCTGCGGTTCTTGTCATGCTGGTGGCTGTGAGCGCCGATTTCACTCAACAGTCGTCATAACTGTCAGATATATTTCAGCTAAGTTGAAGAACACAGTATCGTTTTCCGTGCTACAGTTTCTTCAGAAAAAAAACACTTCTCCGATACAAAAGTCTTTTTGCAACCGAGTTGTACCTTTGAGTCTATTCAAAGAAGTACAAGGCCATTCGATGGCAACAGCATCAAGTAACTGATCAAGCTTGTCAGAGAATGCGTTCTCTTCTTGTTTATCTCCAGAGTTCGAAAACGCGTCAAAGGATATAATCTGTTGTTCTGAGTGAGATGGAAACCTTTATCCAGCAAGACCTTAGGCTAATCAATCCTTACTCCTC